GTTACCAAAATGTTTTGGGTTTTGGTTTTTTTTTGGTCTTTTTTGTTTGTTTGTTTGTTTGGGTTTTTTTATGTGTGTTTTTGTTTGTCTTGGTGTTTTTTTTTTTTTTTTGTTTGTTTTTTTTTTGTTTTTTTTTGTTTGTTTTTTTTTAATAAACAAGGAGCTTCATTAGGAAAAAAAGGAGAATAAGGTTGTTCATTTTGTTCTCCAATATTCTGCCTCCACAATTTGCTGAGATGAATTCTGCTTCAGATTAAAATGCCTGAATACAAATGCCTTAAAATGAAAGTTAATGAAGTAAATCCAGGTGGGTTTTTCTAGAGACATAGATTAAGTATGTCAGTTAGTGTACAGTTCATTTGCAGCAAAGGGGAAAATTTAGGAACACAAAGTGTAGTGGAAGAGCCGTGAATTTTATCATGATTACTGGTGTTTTGCTTGTGAAGAAATGCTAACTGGAGTCCTGATCAGGAATTGTAAGTCACACAGTCTTCCCATCCACCTGAACAGAGAAGAGTGTGCTGAGAGGTGGTGAGTAGCCAGAAGTTTCTGTTTGAATACCATATGGAGGTGCATTTAGTGTAGTCATCTGAAACATCAGAAGACTAAAATCTTAGCATTTTCCTGAGGAGACAAATATAAAGCATCCAAGCAGGAGGATGTTTCTAGAGAAAACACAGTGAGTTCTCTTGTAAGGCCAGTCTGCCTTTCATATTCATTCAGTTCCCAAGCTGAAGAGAGAAAGGGTTTCAGAAACTGTGGCTAAGAGAAATGCACAAGGGAGTAGAAAACTGTTTCACTTTGAAATTGGTCCCCAATTTTATTTTACTTTTTTTGTTTAGAATGTGAATATTCTTGTGAGGTTGGCCATGACATTCTCAGCTCAGAAAAAAATCGGATTAATCCTAGTTTTTTGATGTTCCTCCTGGGAGAAAATTCTCTCATAAACAATTGGTATGAATTTAATCCTTTCACATTCCATTCTCAAGAAATGCTGGAACCACTGTTCACAGGAAATCCAAGATCCTTTTAAAAGGACAAAGGCAGTACCTCGTGCAGAGTTCAGCCCGGGTACATCCAGGTAAAGGAAAGGTGTTGGCTTAGACAGGAAGGGTCTACAAAGCAGTAAAAACACCTCTCAGGACTGGATGCCAGAATGTGTGTGCCTTGTCCTTTAATGGATGGGCTGTAAGGAGCTGCAGAGCTGTTGAGCCTTCAGGAAACTCTCCCCTTAAATGCAGTCCCTGCTCCCAGTGCCTCTCCAAGTGGGAGCTGTGGTGCTGCATCGCCAGCACAGCCTGGTCCCTCTCTTTTCCCCTGCAGAGTGGATCCCTGCAGGAACTGGCCTCTTTGCATTTTAATTGTAGGGGTTTTTTTGTTTTGTTTTTTGGATGTTTTGTTTTGTTTTGTTTTGTTTTTTTTCCTGGATGCTGGCAAGAGTTCTTAAAATCTCTTGCAGGTACTGGGGGTACCAGCAGCATCACTCTGTGGGTCAGCGAGCCCCTGAGCAGCAGGACAGAGCGCTGGGTACCCGTATGGGTGTTATGGATAGATCCCTTTAATGAATAAGAGTTCAGTCCTGCTGCTGCCAAGGAAATAAAGCGGATTAGGGTCTGGTTAGGGCCACAGGAGTAACATTATGTGATGGTACACTGTCATTCTGAGACTCCAAACAGTGTAGATCCAATTACTTCTGGCTGTTTCCAGAGGCTGGAATGTACGGGGTATACACATCAGTGGTGCAAACAGCAGCTTTTCATCTCAGACATGTCAGAGTCGGCTTCTTTGGTCAGGTGGTCTGGGTTCTGCTCCTTCCAGCTCCTGTGGCACCTACAAAGTAACAAAGGGAAAAAGATAGGGAAAAAGTGGAGTTCAGATTCCAGCCCCTTGAGTTGGCTCTTCACATCCAGGCCACATCACACAGGCTCAGGCATTTTTTGGACTGCAAATGCAGGCATGGAAATTCGAGAAGGCATAATCTGAAGCTAGAAAACAATAGAGGTAAAATAGGGTGTGGTTTGCACATGGAAAAGAGTATGGATTCACATCTGCAATGTGACTTCATGCTGAGCACCATTTTCAAGTTGCTGTTCTTCATGCTGGTATCTGTGGTATGAATAGATGTCTGATTTTTGGAGATTGTGATCTCCTCATGCTTCATTCTAATCATAACAAAAATATTAAAAGGAAAAAAAGAGTGGAAGTGGATATTCCAAACAATGTCTTTCACAAGTGTCCTGCAGACCTGCTGAAGATTCAAAAAGGTCCTAATTCTATTTTTGTTTTTCTGATATTTCTTATCTGAGATTACGTCTTTTCCAAATAATGGTAATTTCTTCTTGTCTCATCTTGTAAGTTTTGCATTTAAAATTTAGTCTTACTAAAAATTAATATTTGCAATAAGACACAAATCGAAGTGCTATTGTGTCCCAAAAAAATCTTTTAATGAGGCCTTAGTTAATGAATAATATCTACATTAACACAGAAGTAGGAGAACCCTGCAAGATCCAATATTGTGTGTGAAAGAAATGGATGTGAATTACAAAGTACATCCAAAATTGCTATAAAATGATGAAGCTCTTTCTGTTAGGAAAGCTTCACTTTCTCATAACAAGGTAGTGTAACCAAACATTATGCTTTCCTTCTCTGCAAAATCAGGCTGATTTTGTGTTGGCTCAGTGGGTGTGTGGGTGTTTACGTGAGCTAAAGTACTGCTCTGGAATTCACACTGTAAATAAGCTAGCTAGACTTCTGGGATTAATCCACTCTATCTGGAGAACACCCTCCAATTTGTCATAACATGATACCTTGGTAAATACTACATCATCTGCTAAGCAAGTATTACATAATCGGTTGAATTTAAATATGCAGGCTATTAAAAGAATATGGATCAATCTGGCAGCACCTGAGAGGACCATCACGTGTCATAGTTTTTGTGGTCTCTTCAGTGAAAAAACCACATCGCCACTTTTTTTTTTTATTGCTGGATCTGATATATATTATGTCTATGCATGATTTTTGGGATTTTTTTTGTGTGGCACCTTGCAAGATCCTAGTCCACTGAAATGAAAAGGAGCTACAGTGCTATATGATAAGATGAATAATTTTTCCAGGTTTTATAAGCCACAGAAAGGATTCAATTGTGGTGCATTATTTTTCTCTGTGCTGTAATTATTACCATTATATTTAATAGCTGAAAGAATATATTGAGGTTTTATGCTTCTATCCTTATTTTTTGGTATTTTTAGAGTGAGAACTCTAGATGATGTGTAAAATAGGCCTGTTGAAGTAAACTGAAGATAGTATCATATCTCCTTTTTGTCCTTGAATGAGAAATCGGTCCTTTTTCTGGTCAAAATGGATATGTAAAAGGTAAAAATGGGGAGCAAGTTGCCAGGGTCTGACTGTGTGTTTTCTGCAGGGCAGGGTTGATGTGGAGTGTTAAGGTCTGGGATTCTGATGCTTCCCTGTCCCCTTACCCTCATTCTCTGTGGTAAAAAGGATGGAACATAGCATGGAAGTAAGACCTATGTTTTGTACTGACCTTGGGCTAGTCACTGAAAAGATTTTTAAAAAAATTAATCTTGATATTTCTCTAGTATAGACACTTAACATAGGTTCATCCTTACTATATCTTAGAAAAAAAAAAAAAAAAGCAGTGTTCTTTAGACTTTTAAACTGTGGTATGGTCTAAAATGTACTGTAGTTCAGGTTGTTGTATTGTTTGTTTTGATGCCTTTTTGGGGAGCATAGGGCGTATGAATGGCTGTGTTTTGGCTGTAGAAAACCAGAACCTCTGTTTACCTCCAAGTTAAAATTTAAGTTTTGAATAATGATGCAATCCTTAAGAATAAATTTTCAGTGGAATCTGCCAATATCTGGCTTTTGCATTCATCATGTTTCAGTTAAGTCCCTTTTACAGTTGTGTGTCCTAGTTCTGTAAAGCGTGGTGTGCAGGAGTAGATTAATACAGAATACTTGGGCCAGGATTTTCTAGTCCTTAAGAAATTTCTCCTTAAAATCCCAGCTGTTTGAACGCCCAGCACTAAGCATGGCACTCTCCCAGGAGCAGTATTCCTGCTGTAATGAGCAGAGATATTTACTTTAGATATCACTAGGATAAAAAATGGGAATGTAAGAAGCTGGAAAGATGTGAATACAGGACTGACAGGATTTCTAGGTGCACTGCATGTGTGTGAAGGACTTGTGTATGCCCTTGGCTCAGTGAAAGGGCATTAAAATGCCACTCTTTTTCTGGAAGGGTTTGGCATTCTGCAGTGCTGGAAAGGTGGTTTGAATCCCCAGTGCCCTCACACTAACATGGTACCTTTTAGAATGGAGATTAAACAGTACTACAAGTCTGAAAACATGGAGCTGTGGCAAGCCAAGTTCTGGTTTTGACCTTCTTAGTGTGGGCCCATTCTTTAAAGAAAGGATAAAAAGGCAGTGTGCTCCCTTTTAATCTAATCCTCATCAGACCCATCCAAGGCAGCGGGTTGTACCGTGTCGTCTGCCTTCTCCTTAGGGAGTCACAGCAGCACTTGGGTGTATCAAGTGTTATTGCCCTGAATCTGGCACAGTGTGTTCCTGAAAATAAGAATGGAGTCATCCCCACTTGTTCAAAGCACCCTTATCAGTCTCTGCATTTATTCTCTCCATCGTGGTACAGTAACTGCTGCAAAATTTCCAGTGCGTGTATCAAGTTACAGATTAGTGCAGGCCCCTGTGGTTCTTGGAACAGCATGGGGCTGTTTTTGTTTACTGATGACATTTATCCTCTCATTTCCTTTTGGAAGCATGACAGCTTCTCAGTATCTCATGGTGAATGTACTTACAGGACCTTCTTTTCATGCCATGTCTGTCAGCAAGCACTGCACTGCACAGTATCCATGACTGCGTGCTATGGAGCCGCTGCTGGTGCTTCCAGCAGCCACACTGGCAGGACCTTGGCTGGGCACGGAAGCAAAAGGGTTCCTAAGTGCAATTATCTTGTCTTGCAGGAGGAGACCGAGAGCGGATGACAGCTAATCATGAGACCTACCTACTCATGGCGAGCACGCAGAATGACATGGAGGACTGGGTGAAATCCATCCGCAGGGTGATATGGGCACCGTTTGGAGGAGGTGAGTCACAGGGGGAGCATGCAGTGCTCACAGATGCACAAAGACTCACAGGGCTTCTTCCATTATCTCTGAGTCGCAGCCAGAGCTTTGAAGTAAAGAGGAGAATGGGCTACATCTTTCCAGAAAAGTGGAGTAAACATGTGTCCATGCAGAGGGCTCAGTTAAAAGACTTTGAACTGTCTGGAACCACTTCCCTTGATGAGGGTAGCACATGATAGTGTGAGGGGAAGTTTTGAAGATTGGTCTTGTATGAAATTGGCTTTCCTGCAGGGAGAGGCAGGGTAATTCCTTTGGTCACCAGCTGAAAAACCATCCATGGTGTTTCTTAAATGCCTGTTGGAAAAGCTGTCAGCAGTTCTCTGGCCAGTGACAGCTAAGAGCAGTAATAGTATTATATAAAGCTGTGCCTCAGAATATTAGCACTAACAGTGTGGGAATTTGATTGGCATCTCCAATGATTTCAGTAGTACTGGACCAAAATTTATCGTAGGGACTGTAGTTATCTTTTTAAAAAGCTCTCTTATGTTGAATGGGCTGCAAATTATTGTATTAATTTTCATCATTACTATTCTGGTGATAATCTGTATTATAATACAAGTATGATTGATACACTTGCACAAAATGTATGTATGTTAATCAGTCTGTTCCTTGGAGCTCTCAAATCTCTGAGGACAGAAATATTTTCCTACAGTGGAAGACCATTTGTATTGCAGCAAATGATTTTTCTTGTCTGCAGGTTGCTGGAAAAAAGTCAGGAGGGCAGGATTGTCTGTGCTGTTTCACAATCAAGAAGTGCAGCTATCACTGAAAACTCTTATTGCTGATTTCTTTCTCTTAACTGCTGGGTAGAACGCAGGAGGGAGGAGGGAGACACTAATGAAAGTTTTAAAGAAAACTTTACTTGTAAGCCACTCATCTTCCTTTGTACTTTATTCAGGTCACACAGTGTTTAGGAGAGGACTTTGGCCTCACTGGTGGGCTGCACTGAGGGACTTGGCCAGCTAGGGCCTGCCTGGCATCTCTGAAACATGACTGGCTTCTCCTTGGCTTCTCCTGGGAAAATGTGCCTTGAAAAGATGGTGCAAAGCAGTCATGTCACTGGCATGTGGCCCTTTATGTTAAATAAGATGGCACAATCCTGAATCTGGGACTGTAGGTCTTAGAGTGCTTAAAAAAAAAAGAAAACAACATACCAAAAACCCCAAAACTCACAAAGTGAAAGGTTTATCTTAAAAGGCATGAACTGCTACAGGTATGTGGACTTGGTTTGGGAAAGGGAAGGTATGAGTAGCACAGTCTTCTGTAATTAGGTAAGAAACCTGGTTTTTATATAGCACAAAGATTACCCATCGCCTGCTTTCTCTGCAGAAAGTAGGCCTTGTGTTGAGCTCCTCAGCGTTCTCCTACTCCAGTCCACTAGCAGCATGAGCTGTTGTGGCAGTAATAAATTTGGAGGCTTAGCAGAAGTGGGTTTTTCAGAGAGTATCTTTGTGGATTTTTGCGCTTGGCTTCCTGCACCACAGTATCTTTCTGTGGCAGATAATAAGGAAAGGCAGCCTTGCTGTTCCTCTGCAAGAGGAGGTGTCTCCACATGTCACAGGCAGGGAGCTGTGATTAGGTGAAACTAAATTCTAGCCCAAGTCAATGAACAGGGCTACAAATAGAAACCAAATCTCTCAAGTCCTGACCCTGTGCTTTCTTCACCAGCTCCTCATTTGCTTTTATAGGGCAAGAGCTATTTGTGATTTGCAGCTGGGAATCCTTCCAGCCACCAGGAAAATTCTCAGGACACCATCATTGTTGCAGGAATGTTTAATGCCAGTTACTGAGGGAAGCACCTCGCTGAGGATTTTGTTGCTGATTTGCATAAAACTAGAGGGGTGCAATCTTTACATTACCTTTCCAATTAATTTGCAGTTAAACACTTCCAAGTATGTTCTTATTTTTAATTTTGGGTTTCTTGAGCAAGTATACTGATTCAGCGTTGTTTGTTGTTTGTATTGGGAAGCAAACAGTTAACTCCCTGGAAAACGCAAAAATAGCTGGAACATAATTTAGTGTGTAGTGTTCATGGAGAAGGTTTGACTGTGATAACAAGGCAAAGGCAGTATCCTGGGATGTGTCACCGTTAAGAATTGAGTTTCCAACATGTCCTCCATTTTATTCACTACTTGATAGTCAGAGCTATCTTAACAAGTATAAATAAATCCTGTTAACTGTTCTGTAATTATGAATGACCAGACACACTCATATTTTTATTATCCTTGCTATGTGGATGTTGCTACAGCTGCTGCAGCAGTCTGGCTCTTCTTAAGACAGGCACTTCTGACTTAAGATGTCTTAAGAGCTTGCCTTTATGATCGCTAGCTGCTGAAGTTAAAAATGGTTTTACATATTATAAAAGATACAGGAAAGTTGCAATCATATGATGACGACTAGCCAGTAACAAGTAATTACTTGCAACCCAAAATTTTTTCAGACAGCTAATTAATCAAAACACTCATTTTATAGCAGCTTCCTGAATTTCAGTCCTTAATGGTAAACCACAATAGCCTGGTGTCACACAAGTCAAGTGCCACTTTGAGTAACATGTGAATTTCTGGTTCTTTTAAGCATTGTAAGTAAGCTCTGTGTGTGTGCAGCGGATGTGTACAAGCCTTGCTGAGCCACTAATATTTAAAGTTTGTCTGGCAGCAGGAGAAGACTCCTGGTACCAGAGCGAGGAGCTCTGTAAATAATTAACCTTATCATTAAATTGTTATTTGTTAACCTCTGCTGGAAGGAGAAGGTGGGAGGGGGGCAGGTGGGAATCTGCTAAGCTCATCAAAAACAGGTTGTTTTTTGCACCAGAAGAATAAGGTGACTGTGGAAAGAAAAATCTGAAAGGGAAAAGAAATGTAAATGAGGCAGGGCATGTAATGCCTGTTTGCACATGAAATTCCCTTCCTGATTAGATTAAAAAGGCAATTTTTTTACAGAGCCTGCAAGTAAGCGGGGAGGGAGGAGGCGAGAAGAAGGAGCATGAGCATTTTAGCAGGGGTATAGTGTAAGGTCTGGCACCTCCTGCAGGAGCCAGGCACAGCCTGTTCGCTTTCCCAGCCGCCGCACATGACAGGCACAGCCTGAAGTCAACTCAAAGTCACCCGAGGAGACACAAACCTGCGCTGCGGCTGCCGCGTCCCGCCCGCACCTGCTGCACGCAGCCGGGAGCAGCACAGCCCTGCTGCCATCCCCCGCTGCAGGCACGGATTCCTCGGCAGCTCCCGGGATCCTGCCGCCAAGGATGCGCCGCTGCCGCATCTGACGCGCCTCTCCCGGGAGAGCTCCTGGTAGTTGGAAGGCAATAAAACAAGCGAGAAGCCCGTGAGAGCATCACACCAGAAGCTGGCCGTATAAAAGGACTTTGGAGAGGAATCTGGTATGGACAAAGAGGCTTTCGGGCGAAGGGACTGTTATTTTTGCTTCTCGGTTGCAGAAATAAAGGGTGCCAGCGAGGAGTGTTGTATCCTGAAGGATTGTTCCGTGGCCTTTTTGGTATTGTTCTTCTCTTTCCCCTTGCACACCGCACAGTGCTGAGCTTTTGCTGTGGAATTAGTGTCTCTGCCACTCAGCCTCCTGTTCCAGCCGGGAAGAAGAGGTCTTTCTCCTGTCCTTCTATGCGGGCACTTCTGTTTGAATGGAAGATACATCTTTCTGCTGAAACTCTTTTGTTGTGACATTGCATAATAGGCAGTTGTCTCACTGCAGGAAAAAAAAGAAACTAAAGGAAATAGATGGAAGGAAATTGTTCCCCAAAGCAAAACTGAAGCAGGGAAGAGAGCATCAAAATAATTTCAAGCCCTACCCAAGATCTAGAAGACCACAAATCTCCTAGCTCCAGAGGAAAATACACTATTATAAAAACTCTTCAGCAGTCAGTAACGATGAGCAATCGTGGTGTTTTGTCTGGATGCTGCTGGTAAAGGAGAGCTTTGGAGGGACGTGGGGGCTCTGGCCTGTATGATGCCTGAAGACAGAAATGCTGGAGTCCGAAGCCCAGGTGCCTTAGCAGCAGCTCCCTTCATTCCTAAAACTACTTACAGGAGAATTAAGCGGTGCTTTAGCTTCCGCAAAGGTAGGTCTGCTCTGTCGCTGTGTTCTGCTGTGCTGGTGAAGAAGCCATGGCTTCTCAGAAGTCACGGGGGCTCTGTGTGCAGGGGCAGATGAGAGCAACGAAACAAAAGGCATTAAACAATGCAAATGCCAACATTCCACGAATGATTTATTTACTCCTTTGTTCATTTGTTTGTAGCTGGCCAGTGGATACTGTCTCCTCTACATAATAGCCCATGAATGCAGGAATGAGGTGGAATGAGACAAGATCATTGCAGTGCCTCTGAGCAGAATTGAGTGAGAACACTGAGGGAATTAGACCTGTGAGGCTCTGAGTTGCCTGTTTGGCAGAAAATCAGGAAAGGGAGTTTATATTTGTATTTTGTCTATGTGGGAGGAGGGCAGGAGAAGAGAGAGCAAAGCAAGTTGATAAAATCTGTGCAGAAGCTTGAGTCTTTGATTTCAGAGGTTTCTGATGGAATGAAGTGTAGCTCTACAATGCACTGTCCTGGTGCAAGGGCTGCATTGCCACTTCATCATGCTGCCCTGCAGCCTGCATTTGCCTTTTCACCTGCTGCATAGAGAGGTTTATAGCCAGTTTTGTTTTGCCTTGCACATACCCCTGTTGAAGCAGAGCATGGAAATGCTCGGGTAAGAGGGCAAAGAGGAGGCTGAATGTCATAATATGTCAGCTGCAGGCACTGGAGGGGAAACACATGTCTGAGGCAGAGGTACAAGGAGTGATAGTAAGGTGTTAGGGCACTTGGGATGGGTGAGGAGAAACTGTTTCCACGACAAGGACAAAAACTGTGTGGGGGGAAAAGATGGATATTAGTGCTGTTTTAAAAGCTCTGCTGGACTGAGAAATCCAAGTGAAAGGGCTAAATTGTCATGTTCTTCTGAAGCGT